GGCCCAAATCCAAAACCCACTTCACTCGCTTCAGTGGCGAGATGAGAACAGCAATTAGATATTAAAAAAATCAATATATGACAATTAAAAAAATGGAAAATGGATAACAATCAATCGCAGTGAGAAGCCATGACGGCTAGAGAGCCTGGTCAGGGGAGCTGAAGATGCCGAGGAAAACTCGTGCCTGGCACCGATGGGGAGAAGGGGAGAGAAGGCTCCTCAGGATTCTGGAGAAAAGAGAAGTGATAGATGGAAGAAACAGTAAAGTAGAAATTTTTGTTAAAAACTTCTGCTGTAGACCTGGAAAGGAGCCTTGCTGTGTTTCTGTGTCATGGGTGGGTGGTGACGATTTTTCTAGCTCATTAGTAGCCAAGGAGAATTTTATACAAGGTACAGTGGAGAGAAATACTTTTAAACAAAAAGGCCCTGACAGCTTGCACCCAAGAAACTCCAAAGAGTTGACATGTGATGCTAGTTTTTCAAAAAGCTTATGGACTGAGAAAATGATGTCAAGAGCTGGTCAGGGTAATGTGGGAGAGTTGGCAACACTTTGCTTATCTCTTCTGGGCAAAATAATTGAAGAGCCAACATAAGATTCAATTGATAAAGAATTAAGGGATAGAAATATAATTCGTGCCACTCAACTTAGATTTATGGAATATAGATCTTGTTAAATAAAGCTGATTTCATTCTTCTAGGTGACAACTTTGGTTGATAAATGTAGATGAAATAGACTCTGCATGATGTTGGACGCAGCGCCTTGTGATATTGTGCATGGGAGGACTGAGCACTGGGTGGTACTGCTGGCACAGGCGATTCAGAGCTGGCCAGTAGATTTGGGAATGTGGGGGCTTAGCTGGAGAGGTCGGCAGGGGCCACAGGGATGGTTAGTGCTTCATTGGTGATCTGGAAATTAATATGCAATTGTGGCTGATTCGCTTCGTGGGTGAAGCAGAGGTGGGTGGACGGGTGAAGAGCAAGAGGGGTGGGTTTATGGGGTGGCCTGGGCAGACTGTCAAGAAGAGTGTGTTGAGAACACACTGGGTACAGCCTGCTGTGCTCCTTGGCTAGAAGAGCAGAATCGGGGCCATGCTCACACAGCTGGAGTACGGTACTCTAGAAGGCAGCAGCTCTGTGGGAGGCTTAGAGGAAAATCAGCTCTTTCCCAGCATGGTGCCAGTGTGAGAAGGGCTAGGCTGGTCCTTGAGTAGTGGAGGAGGATGAAGGGGTGGAAAAATAACTAAATTTTGAAGTGTGGCTTGATTTTTGGTTGCACAAGTACCCTTGCTGTGCATGAGGGGGGCCTACTGTGCACCAAGAGCTTTTCAGTGTATCAGCCACAAAAAAAAAAAAAATCAAAAAAGAGAACAGGTAGATGTTGGAGCCAGAGAAATTCAGGTGGATCCCAGTACCCGTCTGTAAGTGTGGTTAGCTGTGGGAACTGACAGTGGTGGCAAGCAGGGGGTGTTTTTCATGTCTTCTGAACTGGTTTGAGTAGTTTTCACTGGGATTTTGTGCTTTGCCCTACAGATGGTTTGTGATGCTGAGGAGGTCATGCTTTACTGAAAGGCACCGTGTTGGTCACAGGGTGACAGAGGAAAGGTAGAGAGTAAGGGCTGGTGGGCCCTTCCAGCCTTGAATTCCTCGATGTGAAGCAACCGAGGAGGATGTGAGCTCCAGCCCTGCTGCTGGTGGCCAAGGAGGGTGGTTCAGCAGTGACCAGCTTTTGCATCTGGATATGGGGGATTCCTGGTAGCCTCTTGGAAATCGGCTGAAGCCCTGATGATATCACAGTGGATAACACATCCATCACATTGTCCCGGTGGACGATGAAGCACAAGAGCCCTGTGGGACGTTCTCCAGCTCTGTCCTTGGCCAGCAGCAGCTGCTGCATCTCCCTGCTGTGACACCCACCTTGCTTGCCCGTGGTCTCGCCCAGATGTGTTGGCTGGGAAGCCTTTGTGGACACAGGGCTGGCCCATAGCTGGGAGACATCAGTGGATACACAGCCTTTGGGTCCTGCAATCCCATCTGACTTTTGAGAGGACCCAAACACTGTACTAAAAAAAAAAAATATGGTGGTGGGATGGGAGGAAGGGAAGGCACATCCATTCCAAAACCAGGGATCGCTGTGGCAGTGTAAAGACCTGTCTCATCGCTGACGGGCAACGCGTGGATTAGTGCCATAATTCCTGCAGCTTGGCAAGGCTGCAGCAGACTGGAACGTATCTCTAGGTGGTGATATGGTCAGTCAATAGCCTTCATAATTAATCAGGCACTAATAGACAAATTAGAAATCACGTCTCTTCAAAGCAGGAGGTGGAGACAAATGGCCAGTGGATTTTAACTGTTTCGCTCCTTTATTTTATTGCCTGGTTTTACGTTGCTCCCTTGAAAATGGTGCTTTGTTTAGGGGAGTTTTGTACATAAACATGATTTTAAATTTAAATTATTGTCTTAATTACCAAACACGGATGGTGAATTGAAAACTTGTTTTTCAGGCAAGCACATGAAGAATAATCTTACATTTTACACTCCACTAAATCAATGTAGCCCTAATTTTGCCACGCAGGAAATCAATTCCAGTCTTTATAACAGTCGAAGATGTTATGAACAAAGTAATTTCGCAAATTATGGCAAGTAACGCATTTATTGATGACTGTAGTTTAGGAATTTAGAATTTGTGAGCGCTGTAATATAATAAGGCTGTACTGGCAGGAGCTGAGTGAAATACAGATTATACGGTGAAACTGTAATGCATCATTTGCTATTAGTGGACTGGTAATAATTACCAGTTTCAAAGCAGCGTTTTCCATGTAATCTTTAGTCTCAGTCGTAACAGCCCTTCTCATTGACATTATGATTACACGAGCTGCCCTTATGATCTGGAATATCTAGTTGATGGGAATACTAAAATGTGGTAGCGAAAGCTCGATGTTGTATCCTCATTATAAGATAAAATGCTGTTTTCTCTGACCTGATCTATAAAGGTAGAGAGGCAAGGTAGCGTTACGTTGTTAGCTCCTACTGCGGTGTTAAAAACTTACACTTCATTATGGTGAAGCAAGATGAAATTTTCCTGTTTAAGATTTTGGTTTTTTTTTTCTCTGAGCATAGGAATGTGAAAGTCCAATTGAATTTCCCTCTTAATTTCAGCAGATTTAAGCATGTATCTGAGCTCACACGCCTGGCACGTGCTAAACACCACAGTGCATTTTATTCTGGCTTCAGGATGAAACGTTAAATGTTATTCCAAGGGCTTTTAAAGTGATTAAAGTGTTAAACGCCTGCTGTAGACGATTGAATCTCTTTGCTCTGCCTGATTCAGCTTCTCAGGCCAAACGTAGAAAAGCAGCAGAGCAGGGAGGAAAGCTGGGATGGAGCAGTACAGCCAGTGCTGGATCTCATAGGATCCACGGGATGGTTTGGGTTGGAAGGGGTAAGAGGTCTAGTTAAAGATATCTAAAGGTATCTAGTTCCATCTCGTACCCCCAGATCATCACTCAGCTCACTTGAGGAAGAAAATGTGCACGTGAAGCTTTTCTTCCCTTCCTCTCAAGTGAGATAGGAAACATGACGGGTGCAGATAAAGCGAGAAAATGTGGACATTTTCTTTCCAAATCTGCCTGATTTGGTTATTTAATTTTCCTCTTCTTCATATTAAGCAAATAGGGGAAACCTAATGGGGGCAACTCTCAGTGCAGCCTGTTTACCCTAACAGCCTGTTTAGCCTAGGGAGCGGATTCCTTGGAATGTGAGTGTTGGGTCAGTGCAGGAGTATGTGGTGAAGGCTGGTATCACCCCTAGTGCTGATGCCCGTAGAGGGCTCCTGGTTTATTCCTCAGCAAACCTCAACACCGTGTTAATTTTTTACAATATCCCTAAACAGCAGCTCTGTGAGGACTGCTGGACAAGGCTGGAAATGAATTTTTATCCTTCTCTTAGCTCCGGTTTCAGTTTACCAGCATTTAGCAAAGAGCATCTGTGTGGGGGTGAAAGTGAATTATTTTCACAATCCCAGTAATCAATAAAAGCACACTCACCTTCGCCATATCTCACACCACTCTTTCCTCGCGGGTGCCGGCCCTCAAAAAGTTATTCATCCCCCTTTGTTTTGCCGTACATTAGAAGGGGCTGCTTTCTGCTGTCATTATTAGCCGGCTTTTTGTTTAGTTATTTATTAGTTGGTTGCTCTTTTATAATGTCCGTGTTATCTCCAAAAATAAATTATCATGAAATAGAGTTAGCTTGCTACTTGCCAAAGTGGCATTTACCATCCTCAGCTTCCTTTTCAGCGCGAGAGAAATAATGCGGCTCCGTCAGGGCGCTCGGCCAGGCCTCCTGGCCACCCTCCAGCTCTTTCCCTGGCGGAGCTGCCGCTCCCGCTGCCTTCCCCTTTCCCTGTCCCATGCTTCCTTTTTTTTTCTTTTTTTTTTAATTTGCCCCAGAGTGGAATCTGTGCTAAGGAGCAGAAGCTGATGCCTAATTTTGTACACATTGTTAGTCTCAAAACAAGGAGGAGACTAATAATAACGTGTTGATGCCCAGCTTGCTAGCAGTTGTGTTGCTTTGGGTTGCTGCTTTGAACTGATCCGTGTGAGTGCTTTTCAGAGGGGGATTTATTTATTTTATATTTATTTATTTACCCCCCCCCCTCAAATACATGCAGCCTCTTGTAGCACAAAGTCTGCTGAGCTGGAGCTGGCGCTGATTGACTTTAATACCTCCTTTTTTTTCACAGCTTGTTTCGTGCTGTGCTTACCTGCCACTGTTTAGTTTTGAACCGGGAGCTGGGGATGGTTGGGAGGAGGTGGATATGCTTTGGGTGGGTTTGGACCTTTGTGTTGCGCCCCTTAATTCCTCTATCCCTGCACCTGAGCTGAGATGTCCCTTCCCCAGCTCCTGAGTGCCCCAGAGGAGAGGAGCTTAGGCGGGGAGTTGAGCTCTCGCCCGCCGGTGGACGGCCGGAGATTGACGCTGCTTGTTGTGTTATTTTGCAGGTAAAGACGAGCCCAGCAGCTACACGTGTACGACTTGTAAACAGCCTTTCAACAGCGCCTGGTTCCTCTTGCAGCACGCACAGAACACGCACGGCTTACGGATCTACCTAGAAAGCGAGCACGGCAGCCCCCTGACGCCACGGGTTGGTATCCCAACAGGACTAGGTGCAGAGTGCCCTTCCCAGCCACCTCTCCACGGGATTCACATTGCAGACAATAACCCTTTTAACCTGCTCAGAATACCCGGCTCGGTCTCGAGGGAGGCGTCGGGGCTGGGAGAAGGGCGTTTCCCACCCACGCCGCCCCTCTTTAGCCCTCCCCCGAGGCACCATTTGGATCCGCATCGCATTGAGCGCCTGGGTGCGGAAGAAATGGCTCTGGCCACCCATCACCCTAGTGCCTTTGACAGGGTGCTGCGACTGAACCCCATGGCGATGGAGCCCCCCGCTATGGATTTCTCCCGGAGGCTGCGGGAGCTGGCCGGCAACACCTCCAGCCCACCCTTGTCCCCGAGCCGGCCCAGCCCTATGCAAAGGTTGCTGCAGCCCTTCCAGCCCGGCAGCAAGCCCCCGTTCCTGGCCACGCCGCCCCTTCCTCCTCTGCAGTCTGCTCCTCCTCCCTCCCAGCCCCCCATGAAGTCCAAGTCCTGCGAGTTCTGCGGGAAGACCTTCAAGTTTCAGAGCAACCTGGTGGTCCACCGCCGGAGCCACACCGGGGAGAAGCCCTACAAGTGCAACCTCTGCGACCACGCCTGCACGCAGGCCAGCAAGCTGAAGCGCCACATGAAGACCCACATGCACAAGTCCTCCCCCATGACAGTGAAGTCGGACGATGGGCTCTCCACCGCCAGCTCCCCTGAGCCGGGCACCAGCGACCTGGTGGGCAGCGCCAGCAGCGCCCTCAAGTCCGTGGTGGCCAAGTTCAAGAGCGAGAACGACCCCAACATGATCCCTGAGAACGGGGATGAGGAAGAGGAGGAGGAGGAGGAGGAAGAGGAGGAGGAGGAGGAGGAAGAGGAGGAGGACTTGAACGAGAGCGACAGGCCGGACTATGGCTTCGGAATGAGCCTGGAGGCGGCCCGCCACCACGAGAACAGCTCGCGGGCTGGCGAGGAGGGCCGGTCGATGCCGGATGTCATGCAGGGCATGGTCTTGAGCTCCATGCAGCACTTCAGCGAGGCCTTCCACCAGGTCCTGGGGGAGAAACACAAGCGAGGCCACCTCCCCGAGCCTGAGGTGCACAGGGACACTTGCGATGAAGACTCGGTGGCCGGCGAGTCCGACCGCATCGACGAGGGTGCGGTCAACGGCCGGGGCTGCTCCCCGGGGGAGTCCGCCTCGGGGGGCCTGTCCAAAAAGCTGCTGCTGGGTAGCCCCAGCTCCCTGAGCCCCTTCTCCAAACGCATCAAGCTGGAGAAGGAGTTCGACCTGCCGGCCGCCGCCATGCCCAACACCGAGAACGTTTACTCCCAGTGGCTGGCGGGCTACGCCGCCTCCCGGCAGCTGAAGGACCCCTTCCTCAGCTTCGGCGACTCCCGACAATCGCCCTTCGCCTCCTCCTCCGAGCACTCCTCAGAGAACGGCAGCCTGCGCTTCTCCACGCCGCCGGGCGAGCTGGACGGAGGGATCTCAGGCCGCAGCGGCACGGGAAGCGGAGGGAGCACCCCCCATATTAGTGGCCCGGGCCCTGGCAGGCCCAGCTCAAAAGAGGGCAGACGCAGCGACACTTGTGAGTACTGTGGGAAGGTCTTCAAGAACTGTAGTAATCTCACCGTCCACAGACGGAGCCACACGGGCGAGAGGCCGTATAAGTGTGAGCTTTGCAACTACGCCTGCGCCCAGAGTAGCAAGCTCACCCGGCACATGAAAACACACGGGCAGGTGGGAAAGGACGTTTACAAATGCGAGATTTGTAAGATGCCTTTTAGCGTGTACAGTACCCTGGAGAAACACATGAAAAAATGGCACAGTGATCGAGTCTTGAATAACGAGATAAAAACTGAATAGAGGTATATTCGTACCCCCCCTACTCCCCATCCACCCCCGGTCCCTAACCCATCCCGCATCCCCGTAGAGGTTTTCTAGTCCCTTGTGATGGAAGTCATGGAAGCTAAGGATATTCGGAAAGTGCTTGTCACCAGCACACCCTGTTTATTTTCTTTTTGTTCTCACCGTTTGAATGCATGATCTGTATCGGGGCAATACTATTGCATTTTACGCAAACTTTGAGCCTTTCTCTTGTGCAATAATTTACATGTTGTGTATGTTGGGTTTTTTTTTCTTTTTTTTTTTTTTTTTATTTTTTATTTTGGTTGGTTTGGTTTTTTTTTTTTTATTATTTTTGGATTAGACAGCATGTATGGTATGTTATGGCTGTTTTTAAATTGTCCCTGATTAGTTGCTGAGCAAACACATCGCTGTTTCCAATTCCGTTCGGGAAAAACAAAAAAAAAAAGAGAAAAAAAAAAAAGAGGAAAAAAGAGGAGAGAGGAGGAGGAGGCAAAAAGAAAAAAAAAATAAAAAGGAAAAAAAAAGTGAAACAAAACCAAACCCGAGAGCAAACAAAACCGACCATGCTGCATACATCCTGTAATACATATCATGTACAGTTTTGTTTTTGTGACGTGCGAAGGAAAACACGCTTTGGGTAACCCTCTGCGGACAGGACCGATAGCACCGAAGAAGCGTTGCGTTAGCTAGATTGCTGTCTTGAAACAATAAACCCACCGATTGGAGAAAGAAAGTTCCCCTTAGGAACATGTTAAAAATAAATAAATAAATAAAAAAAAAATTTAAAAAAAGGCCTTTAATTGGAAAGTAACCAGTCAGGAAGAGGTAGATTTCTATTAGTTTGGTTTCAATCACACACACACACACACACACACGCTAATAATAATAATAATAATAAATAATCTGAGTGCCTTGGATCTGTCGCGGCCGATGCCGATGGCTCCTTTCTGCTCGTCCTCCACGCGTAGCTCGTCGCCACGTCGGTCGCGGTGTCGAGCCTCTCCCCGCCGGGCGCGCGAGTCCGCCTCGTGCCCCCTCACCACGCCGGCTCCCTAGGAACGAAGAGGAAAGAGAAAAAAAACTAAAGAAGAGAAAGAAATGACCCGCTCAGTCCTAGTTAATCATCATTTTCCTCTGCCTCTTTATTATTTTATTACTAGTGTTATTACTATTATTATTATTATTATTTTTAAACCAAACTGATCATACCAGTCTAAAGGCCCGCTTGGCTCCTGGAGAGAGCTTAAAACGAGATGTAGAATCTTTCTCCCCTCCCCTGCCTTCCCCAAACTTTTATTCCCCCTCCCCATCGATGATTAAATAGAATGTGAAACGCGCAGAGGCCCTTCAACACCATTAAACACACAATAAAGGAAATCCGTTTTATGAAGATATTTACTTTTAATAATATCTTTTATTGATTCTGGCACCAAAACAAATAAATCCGGAGCCACTTGGTTGTCAAGCTGACAATCAAATTATAAACTTTAAGACCTCCTGTATACCGTATAAAAAAAATGAAATAAAGACTGGCAATAATATTTTACCGAGTGTAACAGATAGGGGAGCAAAAAAATAAATAAATTGTGATTTATTAGCACAATGTGGTACTGTTTGCCATTTAAAACTAGAACAGGTGTATAAGCTAATATCGACACAGTGATGATTAACTATGAGCTATTAAGACTTGCCTTTAATGTGACACTTGGAAGAAGTAACAGAAAATTTAAAAAAAAAAAAAAAGAGGAAAAAAAGTGAAAGAGTAGCAGGATCTGTCTGTGCTCCCTAAAAGTTGTCCTTCATTTTTTTTTTTTTCCCATCCTCTGTGTGCTATTTGTGTTGACGTGGAAGAGGATTCCTTGTTTTATTCTTAAGCTAGCGCCCGCCCCGGTTGGTGTTCAAATAGCACTTGACTCTGCCTGTGATGTCTGTATCATTTCTTTAATCGAAGGTACAGAGGTTGAGTATAAAATAAGACTGCTCAGATAGGACAATTAAGTGCACTGTACAATTTTCCCAGTTTACAGGTCTATACTTTAAGGGAAAAGTTGCAAGAATGCTGAGGAGAAAAAAAAAAAAAATTAAAAAAAAAATAAAAATCGGACATGATCTCATTGATGAGCATAAAAAAAAAAAACAACAAAAAACAAAACCACAAAACCCCACAAACTTTGCCAGCCATTTACTTGACTAATGAGCTTATCTTCTCGGACGCGACATTACAGCGCTGTGAATGGAAACAGACTCTACACTCACATAAAATGAATGATTGCTTTCGCTCCTACAGTGCAAGGAAATTTTTTTTTTTTTCTTTTTTTGGTTTTTTTTTTGTACGAAAAAAAAGGAGGAAAAAAAAGAAAAAACCGCCACAAAACCTTTTTTTAAATATAAATGTTAAGAAAATTTTTTTAAGGAAAAAAAATTTTAAAAAAAAAAACCACAACACTTCATTATGTTTAGGGGGAAACTGTATTTTAGGGTTCATCGTCTTGGTGGTGTACAAGACTTGTTATTCATTTTAAAATGGTAGTGGAAATTCTATGCCTTGGATATACACAGCTCTTCAGGTTGTATAAAAACATGCATTGGGGAAAGGTTTAAGATTATATAGTACTTAAATATAGGAAAATGCACACTCATGTTGATTCCTATGCTAAAACACATTTATGGTCTCTTTTTTCTGTATTTCTAGAATGGTATTTGAATTAAATGTTCATCTAGTGTAGGCACTATAGTATTTATATTGAAGCTTGTATTTTTAACTGTTGCTTGTTCTCTCAAAAGGTATCGATGTACCTTTTTTGGTAGTGGAAAAAAAAAAAAAAACCACAGGCTGCCACAGTATATTTTTTTAATTTGGCAGGATAATATAGTGCAAATTATTTGTATGTTTCAAAAAAAAGAAAAAAAGACAAAAAGACAAAAAAAAGTGTGACATTGTACAGATCCGAGGCCATATAATGGCTCTCTGGGGGAAACCTGTTCCGATGTCACGCTGCTGGCCGTCACAGAGGGGTGTACATATCTTTTTTCGTTCTTTTTTCCTGCTGCCATACTGTATGCAGTACTGCAAGCTAATAACGTTGGTTTGTTATGTAGTGTGCTTTATGTCCCTTTTCCTTCTATCACCCGACATTCCAGCATCTTAAAACTTCATATGCAGTAAAAGAAAGAAAAGAAAAGAAAGAAAAGAAAAGAAAGGAGGAAAAAAAAAAAACAAAAAAAAAAAGGGAAAAAAAAAAAAAAAAAAAAAAAAAAAACCGTTTTGCAGTTTTTTTCATTGCCAAAAACTAAATGGTGCTTTATATTTAGATTGGAAAGAATTTCATATGCAAAGCATATTAAAGAGAAAGCCCGCTTGAGTCAATACTTTTTTGTAAATGGCAATGCAGAATATTTTGTTATTGGCCTTTTCTATTCCTGTAATGAAAGCTGTTTGTCGTAACTTGAAATTTTATCTTTTACTATGGGAGTCACTATTTATTATTGCTTATGTGCTCTGTTCAAAACAGAGGCACTTAATTTGATCTTTTATTTTTCTTTGGGTTTTTTTGGGGGGGGGGGTTTTTTTTTAATTTTTTTTATTACTTTTTTTTTTTTTTTTTTTATTATTTGGATGACCAAAGGTCATTACAACCTGGCTTTTTATTGTATTTGTTTCTGGTCTTTGTTAAGTTCTATTGGAAAAACCACTGTCTGTGTTTTTTTGGCAGTTGTCTGCATTATCCTGTTCATACACCCATTTTGTCCCTTTATTGAAAAAATAAAAAAAAAACCTTAAAGTACACAGTGTCAGCTTCTGGTGTCCTCATTTGACACACGCTGGAGGTGGCTTCCAGCAGCAGGATGTAGGAGAAGGTCCCGCACAGGGGCGTTTTGGGGGACGTGCTCCTATCCCCGAGGAGCGCCCGCCACCCAGCCAGGCCTTAATTAAGCCGCCTCTGCCCAGGAAGAGGATTTTTGGGCTAAGGAGTTTGCTTTCCGGCCAGTGGAAAGCATTTGCAGTCTGGACCCGTAGTTTTGGGATTTTTTTCCCCTCTAGTTCAGGACTGAGCTGTGACCCCCTCACCGCGATAGCCTGCGGGCATCCCTGGCCTTCACTCGGTCTGCAGCAGGGACTTCCCTCCCTGTTTGGCAGTGCTTTGGCAGAAGAGGTGAGCAAACAAAAAGCTCTGCAGCCCTCCCAGAGGCTCCCCAGTCCCCGGCTGCTTTTGGGGACCTGGGGTGAAATCAGCTGCGTGGGCAGGAGCTGATTTCTCTCGGGGGGCTGAGACCTTAACACCGCGGCTCTGGGATTGCACTGACCCCAGCCCAAAACTCCCAGCACCGCTCCTGGCTGGAGCTGGGAGCTGCCCCCTCTTCTCCCCTGGGCTTTTATTTTTTTGGTGGGAATCGCAGGTTTATGTGCATTGTCTCTAAAACCCGGAGTTCAGGTCCCCCCTGTTCCCCCTTAGGGGTCTGTATATGTTGTCAGTTTGACAAATACTGCATGTTGCAGCATCTCTTTACTTTATTAAAGCACATACCGCTGTGATATTGTCTCTTGCTGTTCCTAGTGTAATGGATTTAATATTTTTTTTTTCCTTTTTTTGATTTTTGTAAAACCTTCCAGTTGTTCTGTTGTCTTCTTGTGATGGCATCATTTGTTGCCTGTATTTTGCCCGGCGCCTTCTGAAGGGGAAACTTTGGGATTTAAAAAAAGACAGAAATAGGTATCTAAAGAAAAAGGCTTGCTCCTTTAATAAGAGAGATTTAAAAAAAAAAAAAAAAAAGCTCCATTTTAATCCTGGGACAGAAGGAGTGAAGGTTGCGTTGTCCGGGCTAGTGGGATGATCTTGCAGTGGGGCTGGAAAAGCGCTGGCAGTGCCCTTGAACTGTGCTCCCCCTTTGGGAGCTGGAGCTGTGCGGATGCGGGCACTGCCGGAGGGAGGGATCCCTAACACAGTGTAGGGGAGGCAGAGCCCGCCACCAGCGTGGTGAGCTCGAGGTGTCAGGATGGACACTGGCTGTTCCCAGGAGGGCTGGTGTATTGCAGGGATGCGCTTTGCAGCTGCCTTGCTGACACGACTCCTGATCCCGTGCCGTGGAGTATCTGTACAGAGTCCAGTCTCTCCCTTTCTCTCATTATTTTTATTGCTGGTTCAGACCATGATCAAGATGTTGTCTGGAGGACTCTGGTTAGCTGGTGTGACTGGGGTTGAGCGTAGCCTGGCTGTCTTTCGGAGTGGGTGCTGTTCCCTGTGTCTATCCTATGGTGGTTGTCGTTCTACTCCCTTTCTCTGTATATTTTTTTCTCTCCTATATTTTACATATGGAATAATCAGCTGTACAAGCATATAGACAGGCATCCACATGGAGATCCGTGTACAGGCAGCACTAGGTAGATCTGGGCTCCGTGCGCTGCTACCAGACTAACCAGCGGAAAGTGTACAATTGATTTATTTATTAAATCGCACAGCAATGCATTTGATTTACACGTTTCCAAAAGCTAAATTTTGCAGGTTTCTGAGAGCTAAACGAGCCCTGTGGGTGCTGTGTCGCCCTGTGGCCACACACACACGGGGCTGGGGTGGTGGTTTGGAGGAAGGAGCTTTGGGAGAAGCAGCTCCTGCTCCTGTAGAAGTTGTCTGAACACCGGCTGGCAGGAGCGCAGCTTGCAAACGACCACGTGCTGTCACCTCCATGCCAAAGCAGAATTTGGGAAAAATGTAGTGTTTTTCTGCCAGTGGCAATGAGTTAATGGCGTGATAAACCCACTGGAGTTTGCCGGGTTGGGGTGTGGATGTCCAAGGCCCCACCACGTGCTCTCGAGCTACTTTGGCATCCTGTGCTTGCATGACCTGCGCTCCCCAGAGACTTCCCTGTTTTTCTCTGTGGAGAAAGATGATGTCTCTAGAAATAAGAGTGATATTTGGGTAACAGTGTCTCTATTGTTAAAATCTCAACCCCGTTAACTTTCAAGGAGGAATGTGGTTTTGTGGCAGAGACCCCTTCACCATTAGTGTTCAGTCTCCTCCAAATTGAGTGATTAATGTAATGAAGGCGCTGAAACAGTATCCAGAATTTAGAGTACAGATGTTTCATATTTATTGTGTTTCCAAGGGCTGAGATAATACAGGAATAAGTGATACCATGTCTTTGCTTGACATTCAGGAGGTTTTGGCATATCTGATGAGAGACAGTTTCGGGGTTTATCTAAGTGCAGAGTTTGTACTAAAAAAGAAAAGAGATACCAGCTGCTCTTTTAGCTCCCTCCTTCTCTTTTTTCCTCCAATAAAGGTTGAAACCCATTTTTGGCGGGTGCATGGGCAAATTGCAGTACTGACTAGGAGAGTGATACTGCCCAGAGGGCTCTTTGCCAGAGCTGCTGAAGAGATGCTGCTCCCTGAGCCCAGATGCTCGGCTGCTGGTTTCAGATGAGCCACAGGGATCCAGGAGGGGCAGGAGGCACGGGGGAATCCCAGGCTCCCGTGCCCCTTGGAGGGATGTAGGGTTTGCAGCAGTGTTGTGCTTGTGGCTGGGGTAGCTGTGGCGCTCTTGGCTGCCTTGGAAGTCTCAGCCAGCTTTAACGTCAGCCTGGAAACCTGTTGGGCTCAGGCACCAGCAGCAACAAGCCCTCCTGGGGGGGAAATGGGGCACGTGCTCTTTGCTTCAGAGGAGACACTCCAGTTTACACCTGGTGAAGATGTGGCCTAGGAAGGAACTGCTTGTTTAGTCCTGACGGCAGCTCGCGTGTAACCCTTCAACCGCTCTTTTAAGTATTAATGAAGCAATTTCCATAGAAACCAGCTCCCTGGCGGGGCTGTGGAGGTGGATTTTGGGGGGTGTGCTGAAGATGCACCGGCCTCACCACCACCACCACCACCACCTGTGGTCTTAGTCTGCTGCGTGGGGCAACGCGGTGCTTGGTGACGGGCCTCGAGCAGTGGCTCGCAGCCGCTCTCGTGCTCCGAGTGGAGCTGGGAATCACTGCTGTCCTGGTGACACATCCCGTGCTGCTGGAGTCGGGGGCTTTGCTGGGGCTTTGCAGCTTGAGCTTTGCTGTTGCCGGGTGCGCTTCCAGGCCGTGCGACGTCCAGCATGTAATGAGTTGGGAAAAGTCCTCCGTGAACCACCCGCCATGTGCCGTTATTAACAGTACCAGCTTTAGCGGGGTCTTCAGCACCTGGATGTGCTGTGGGTGCTGGGGGAAGTCCCTGAGGTTTTGGGAAAGAATAGGAGGAGGTTTCAAGACAGGCTGGTTTGGTCCTTGCCCAGGTGTCTCAGTAAAGCCCAGAGGTTTTTTTTTTTTCCTCCTAAGTGATCCCTGTGGTTCCTGCATGGTGCCGAGGATGCCGGATGCGAGAGTGTGGCCTGAGAGGAGGAAGGGCTCCATCCTGCCGTATCCCTGTGTGACAGTTGGGTGTCCTAGTTGTTAAAGCCAAAAAAGAGAGCCAAAAAAAAAAAGAAGTAGGATAAGAGAATGACTCACACCGTGGGCCGTGTCACACCTGTTCTCTCCTCTGTCCCCATGCTCTCTGTAGGTTCGGCGTACCCCCCCAGCTGGCGCAGCGCCCAGGGAGCCCCGGATGTCTGGCAGTTTTCGGATGGAAGTTCAAGAGCACTTAAATTCTGAAAGGAGGTGAAGCTGGGGCGAGCGGCCGGCGGCGTCTCGGCGTCCGGAGGTGGCCTCTGTCCTGCTGGCTCGCCGCATCCCCGGGAGAGCCTGAGGAGTCACCCGCCGAAGGCAGCGCTCCCCGGGCTCCTCCTGCCTGCAAGACTATCGTATTTATATTTTGTAATAGAGTACAACACTTCTTTGGGGTTGTTTTTTTTTGTTTCCTCTTTTTTTTTTGTTTTGTTTCGTTCATTTGTTTCTTTTTTTTTTTTTTATTTTCTAAAAACAAAAACAAACAAACGGAAAAAACAAAAAAGCAAACCCACCCACTAAGGTCAAGGGCTTATTGATGGCTTCAACCAGCTCCCTTCCCTGTGGAAAAGACTGTCTTGCTCTCATGGACAACCCGGCCTGTTGGTTATCCCCGTGATGTGCCATTTCTCGGGAGGCACATCTGATGTGATGAATTAAAAATAAAACAAAACACAGTGTAGGTCTGTGGGTGGGTGGGAAATTGCCATAATAAATGTTGGAGCTTTAGGTTTTGTTTGCTCTGTCTTTAATTTTTAATGCTAACAAGGGCCAGGCGGTTGGTATGACTCTGTACTCCCGTATCGGCTGCAGAAAACCAA